AGCTATAAGTTACTAGTAGTTTTAAAGAACTAATAATAGAGTATATAGCTAGTTTCTAAACTATAGCTATAAACTTTAGATTCTAAAATATTAATTTTATTCTTTTATTTTCCCTTTTTACTTTTAGGGTATATAAGTACCTTTTTCCTCTTCTAAAACTACTAGCCTATTATATATTTATTATAAGGCTATAGAATTATCTTATAGGTTAAAATTATCTTAGAGTTAAAAGGTAGAGTTATATAATAAAGTTAGATAGTAGTAGCTATAAGGCCACGCTATATAAATATAGTAAACTATTTAATTCTTTATTATATAGATATAATAGAAGGGTCTTATATATTATAAATATAGTATTTATTTATCTATATTATAAATAGTTAGTAAAGGGACCTAAAATCCTCTTCTTAAGGTAAACTACTAAGGACTATATAGTAGTAGTAGAAATATATTAGAATTACTAGAATCTATATACCTTATTAGATAAAGTAGTAAGTTATAAAGTATTTTAAAAGTTTTATACTTCTTTACTTTACTAGTATATATAGGGCTAGACTAAAGTATTAATAGTTAAATATTAATAGAATAAATAAGGGACCTTTAGTTATATTAGTAAAGAAATATATAATTTAAATAGTATCTCCTATATAAACTAGACTCTACTAAGTCTTAATAATAATTATTTTATAGTTTTTAGGAAGTAATAAAGTATTATAAGGGACTAGTTACTTACTCTAAAGTCTACTAATTAGTTTTAGCTATATATATATCTATACCTAACTATATTTAACTATAGTATAATTATCTATATAAAAGAGGTTTCTTATATATATATTTATAGATTTAGGGAGGTATATATATTATATAATTTTATATATAGTTCTTCTATACTAGAAAATAATAAAGAATTAAAAGGGAAAGAAAGAGGAAAATAAAATATAAACTAAACTATCTTTACTATAATATTTAATATAATTTCCCCTTATTTTCCTAGAAAAGCTCCCCTTTTAGGTATTACTTTCTAATATTTTATAAACTAGATAGTCTAGTTTAGGGCTACTATCGCGTTAGTTCTAATAATAGTCTAGAGACTATTAATATTATTTATATTATCTTAGGCTATATATATAGAGTATTATAGATTTAATCTAGTAGTCTATTTCTTAGGGCGGCTTAACTACCCTATAGTCTTAGTTAAAAAAATATATAATTAACTTTTATAATTATATACTAGTATAGATAGGTTACCCTATATTTCCTAATAAGTCTTAAATACCTTTAAATATTATAAATACTTATTTTCTTTTTTTTTTTTTTTTAGATTTAGTTAGAATATAAATAGATTCCTCTAGCTAAATATATTCCTTATAATAGTATTCTTAAATATTAGTAACTTAGAGAATATAATTTCTTTATACTTTATTTTTTTTTTATTTAGGTTATTTTTAAGTATATATACTACCTTATAAATAGTTTCTAGTAGCTTTCTAATACTTATACTAATATTTTTAGCTATAATAAATATTATATTAAGTATATTTTAAAGTTTATTTATAAGTAAATAGCTCTCTAGATTAGTATATACCCCCTTACCTACTAGTCTAGTATAGTTATTAAGTATATTATAAAGGTACTACTCGCCCTATAGTATATTATTTAAAAGAGTTACTATACTAATAAATAGCTTAATATTAAAAGTAACTTAGCTATACTACTTTAACTTCTTTATAAGTTACCTTAATAGTTTAGGCCTAATAAGTATAAAGGGAATTATATCTAAAAACTAGTTACTTACTAATAAATACTAAACCTATTTAAGCTAGATAATAAGTATAATAATAATAACTAAGTATACTAATAGAATAATAATAATATAGCTATAGGCCGCTTTTTTAGTCCCCCTTTATTCGTGTATTAGTAAAGTATAACGCGCCTTTTTATCCCCCCTACTTTATTAAGTTACCCTACCTTATAGTGAATCTCTGTAATATATAGCTATAGTATAATATAGTACTAATAACTTTTTTAGATAATATAGTACTAGTTTCTTCTATATCTAGAGGTATATTAAGGTAACTTTTAGTAGGGAACTATATAGCTAGTCTAGTTTACTACTATATATAGAAAGTCTAGTTAATAGTATCTATAGGGAGTTTAATATACTATTATCCTTTATATATTCTATCTATATAAAAGGTAAGGGGTAAAAAAGACTTTATATTTACTTTTTAATTATAGAGGGAAATAGAGAGGGGAAAAGATAAAGAGAAAAAAAAAAAATAAAAAAAAAAAAACTATAGTCTAAAGTAGTAATAGGTATTTAAAATAAACTAGATTATAGTATAAATATATAAGACTAGAAGTAAATTATAAAAATAATTAAAAACTATAGATATATTCTATATTATAATTTATAACTAATAATAATAATAACTTTTACTATAATCTATAATAAAGTAGAGAAAGGTACTTAATTCTTTTTTTTATCTCTTTTCCTCTCCCCCCTTTTTTTTTTTAGTTAGTTCTAAAGTTTAGATTTAGATTATAAAAGCTATATAGCTTATTTATATATAGTAGATAATTTCTAGAATTTTATCTAGAGAGTATATATAAAATTAGATAGACTATAAATAAAGGTATAGAAAAAAAAAAAAAAAAAATAAGTAGTAGAGTTATTCTAAGTATAAAAAATAAAGGACTATATTATAATACTATAGTATATTATAAGATAGTATTATATAATAAGGATTTTATTTTTATTAGTTTATATAGCTTTTATAAAGGGATAGAGGAGATAGTTAATAATAGTATTACTAAATTTATTAAGGCCTTATTCTTTAAGATAGTTATATAAGCCTAACTTTTCTAGATATATAATTATAGTATTATAGGTATATTTAGTCTTTATAATCTTTTTTAATAGAAAATTTTCACTAAGTAGCTTATATAGAATAAATAAGTATTCTAGACTAAACTTTACTATTAGAATATTAATTTTAAATCTAAACTTAGTCTACTCTCTAAAATATATATTTATTTTTATTATAGACTATTCTACTAGTTAGTTATTACTATAAAAGTAGATAAAAAAAAGTTATTTATATAGTATATCTAGTTAGTATATACTAAGTATAAATATATAACTATTTTCTAATTCTAATATAAATATCTCTTTAATATAGTACTATAGTCCCGTTTTAAATAGCTTAGTACTATACCCTTTTTAGTTAGTCTATATATAAATACTAAATAAGTCTTAGCTATTTTTTTAGTTTCCCTTTATTTATATATTAGTAAAGTATAATATACCTTTTTATCCCTCCTATTTTATTAATTTACCCTACCTTATAGTAAATCTCTATAATATATATAGTACTATAGTAGTATATAGAATAATTATATAATATAATTATCTATAACTTTTAAATTAAACTTTTTAGTATTAATAAAGAGGAAGATAAGTAATTTAATAGAATTAGTAGTTTTACTATATTAAATTTCTACTAGATAAGCCTATTCTACTTATATTAAAAGGAAGTTTATAATAGACCTATTTTATTAAAATACTATAAATTACTTTTATATATTTTCCCTAATTATAAGGAAAGTTAGATTAAGTATAGATTTCTAATTTTTAGCTAAATTTTTACTTCTATTATTTTTCTCCTCTCTTTATTCTTTTTTATTAGTAGCCCCCTTATTTACTTTATTACCTAATTTCTACTTTTTATTTAACTTATTTAACCTATTCTTTATTCTAGGGTTTCTACGTTTCTTACTACTAGTAGATATAAGGTATAATACCTAGTAGTATATTATATCTTTCTAGCTATTAGAGAGTAAAAATACTAGCTATTACCTTAAAAAGGCTAGGAATTCTATATTATTAAGTAAGGCTAGAAGCTTAGCGAGACTATCTTAGTAATAGGTTATAAGAATTTTATTATATATTAAACCTATAAATAGTAAATACTATCTAATAGTCTAAAAGCTAGAGGTAAAAATAAAAATATATAAATAGTAATTACTAAATTTTTATAGAGATAGGGGGATAATTAGAAGCTATAGTTACTATATATTATCTAAGGTAAAATTATATTAATTTAAACTATTTTATTTAAAGTTAATACTTACTTTATACTAGTTTACTTTACTATTAGTATCTTACTTCTAGGGATAAAACGTGTATAAGCCCCTAGCTATAGATATAAAAATATAGCTACTTATAACTTAGTATTTAACTACTACTATCTATTACTTTACTAGCCTTAATCTCTAACCTTATTATTCTAGAATTCTAGATATAAGTATTATCTATTATATCTATATTATAGCTTTTAGTATTATCTTCTTTACTATTATTACTTTCTTATTTAATATTATTATTATAACTATTCTATAGACCTTATTTCTAAATATTATAAGTAATTATTATAAATTTATTTATATTCTTAAGACTTATATATTTATATTTTTATATCTATTAGCTATACTCTATATTATATTCTATAATACTAGAAAGGTAGGTATTAATTAAGGTAAGTTTACTTACTTAACTTACTAGTATTAGGGCTAATATTTATTTAAGAGATATAATACTTAGGTAGTAATAGGGTATATTCTAGAGTATATCCTATAGTATATTTAATTTAGTAAGAGATATAGTATTTAGGCGGCGATAGGGTATATTATATAGTATATTTAATTTAGCGAGATAGGAGAGTTTAGTATATATAGCACTACACTATATAAGTTTTATTTTAATTAATCTATATAAGGTAGTTAGCTATTACCTATATATACGCTTTAAAATAAAGTAGGTAGTATATACTAGAGTAACTATTATATACTAGACTTAGTACTAACTTTACTTATACTTAAAATTTTCTTAGAAAAAAAAATACCCTTAATAAAAATAATATTCTTGATAAAAATATATCCTCGATAAAAACAATATCCTTGACAAAAATATATCCTCGACATTGTAGGATTTACAAAAATGACAACGGTGGGACTCGAACCCACGCGGGCAAAGCCCATGAGAATGCGTCCTACACTGTAGGAGAAGCTTGCGCTTGAGTCACACGCCATAACCACTCGGCCACGTTGTCTTTTAATTGATGAAAGCGTTGATAAAACTGTAGTATATATAGCTATATTAATTTCTAAACGAGCATGAGCAGTATCGTTCCCAGCTCCACTATCTGTATTTGCAACGAAGTGGAGTCAATTTTTGCCCCCCACTTCGTGTTGGGACCTGTTTCGCCGTAGTCTGGGCGTAGCGCAATCTGCGCTTTCTGGCCCTAGACCAGATTAGAAAAGTCCAGATGCCGGTCCATGACCAACACGATACCGAACAAATCGTGAAGAGAAATAGATTATGTGCGGAACACATACAGAAGCTGTTAATCTTCTTCGAGATGGATGGATGTTCATTGCTTATGTAGGTCGACGTTGGTCTTTGTGGCGTCTGTTGGCCGCGCCAAGCCGTTTTTCCTTTCCAGAGACCGAACAAGCTCTTTCCTTGTCCTCCCATCACCATAGGTAGGACTAGATTTCATGGGCGTCTGCCCGCGGGACACCTTGTCCGAACGCCACGACTACGGCCTACCCAGGATTTGAGTTTGAGCACAGCGTCCTTGTGTGGGCGGAGTTGCTCCATGGCTCCCGGATGTTGCGATACAGATCCCTCAGACCTACGAGACCTTCAACTGTTCGAGATCGGAATCTAAACATATCATAGGAAGATTTTCGGAAGTTCTACACAGCTGCGCAATTGTTAAAGATGGAACTTGTCTAAACACTAGATCTTAATATATTCCCAGTCTTTAAATAGTAGGTCTTTGCGGTAGTTCCTCGCTGGGGCTGTTATGATGTTTCAAGAGGTGGCCGATGAGGCAATGAAGCAGTGCAGACAAATGATTGGATCAAAAAACGTTTGATCCAAGCTGTAAGTGTTTATCATGGCTCCTGTGATGCTTCAATCCCGATTACGTTGCTCAAAGACTTAGGCCGGCATGGGGGGCTAATGTGCACAAGTCATAGCTTTAATGGCGACGGCACCCGTCTATAGACAAGCTGTGGAAACCGGACTAACGACCTCGCTATTTTTAGTTGACGCCAACTGGTACGCTGTAGTTTGAACGCGCAAACGACAACACGTCGATCTTCCGCAAAAACAGACTGTTCAATGAACCACAACCGACGGAGCCCCTGCAGTAAGCTGATGAATACGGGCTTGGTTGCAGCCACGGCGCTAGTTCTAACTTGACGTGCCTATCAGATGTGATACCAGCCATGCAATGTGGCTGTGATCACCCCTCCCCATCTTCTTGGGTTTCAGCTCGAGCAAGGCACATTCGACTGCCAGCTTGTTATGCAACACAGGTCTCTCGGTCAGTCCTTTGCTTGATAAGAAAACGCAGCTTAGTTATTCCACGCTCAAAATCGAAGAAAGACGGTTTTGTACCGTCTGAAAAACTGCATAATCTAAAATCTTCCTGATGATCCGGAGTTCCAAGCCACCACCAACCTTTCCATAAGGCCGGGTATTGGCACCAGTGAACAGGGGGAAGCGAGGAACTCGCAGTGCAACTCTAACTGATAAAAGCAGCACAGTACCACTATCTTCGGTCATCATCCGTTTCTCTAATCGTCCAGAAAAGTGCCCTCAACGTTCGAATCATCATGGAGGCCGCTGCCGCGGTCGTCAGTTTTGTAGGCCTGGCAGGCCCCGTTGCGCAAGGTCTGAAGTTTTTGTATGACTTCACGACAGACATGAAGGACTGCCCAAAGGATATCCGCGAGATGAAGACAGATCTTGAGTTGGTTGAAGCCTTGATCACAAACGTGATTAAGCAATGCAACGAACGCGACTTGCGGCTTCGAGAAAGCGCAGCGCTAGCGCGTGCCATTGCTCACGCTCAGGAAAGCGTTGAAGACCTGAAAGAGGCACTGACTGCGTATGTGGTAAATGGAAGACATAGGCGATTCAGGTTTGCAGTCAAGTTCAGCCAAACCCAAAAGCTCAGAGCAAGCTTGGATAGGACGAAGACCATCATGTTTGAGCTCAAGAATCAGTTGCAAAGGTAGGTTGTTTTGAAATCGCCGCTATATGATTGTTAATATTGAGTAGTGACCTGTTCTACGACATTTGCGATACAAACCAGAAAATTCTCCGAACAGTCGAGAAGACAAACATAGATCTGGAAACGCACGACAAAAGTGTTCACAACGTCGCGCAACAACTCCATAACCAGGCAAGAACCACGAATCATACCATGGACACGATCGGGCAGTCGGTGCATCTGGCAAGCGACAACTCGTCTGAAGGCCTGACAAATATCAAGCTTGTGGAGAAGCAGCTCGAGCGCATCACGGACTTGTTGACGGAAACCAAAATCTCTCCTTCACCGAGTTCAATGCCATCAACACCTGCACTATCACGCGAAATCAGTGATGTCTCTGTCGTATCGTCCCAGGAAACTACTGCCACCAGTGTCATGAGCTCCCCAAGCATGTCGCGGTCAGCCTCCCGGAACCCACGGGCAGTGGACATCAAATCAGAGCACCCTCTTCTACAATTCAAGAATACACAGGTAAGACCAAGTGCCAATACATTGTTACCGTTTTAAAGCAGTCGAACAGTTCCACTTCTTGGTCGCATGCATCTTTACACAGCGCAGCCGCAGCCAAAAACTCGCTTGTCAACGCGCCTCAGAGTGCCTGGCAGTATACCCGACGGCGGAGGCACTTTCAGCAGCATCGGAACAAACACTCAGTCAATACTTCGGCGGCATAGGCCTGCAGAACATGAAGCCACCACGTTTGATCGCGCTAGCTCAAGCATACGCCCAGGATCCGCCCAAACGAGGTGTAATGCGTTCAAAGACCAAGAGAGGCTCTTGTCCGGAATCTGAGATCACACATTTACCATGGATCGGGGAGGCGTCGGTCAATGCTTGGTGGGTGTATTGTTGCGAAAGGACAGATGTAAAGACCCAGGAGAGGACACTGTTGGAATACATGGAGTATCTGAAGAAGTAGGCAGACGCCAACCATCTTCCGGAACTATAGCGATTGGAAGTGCCGGAACTTCCAAATTGCGAGGGGATTCAGATTCACACGGCTTCAACACGGGCACCATTGAGATTAAGAGTTGAACGTCGACGAGGACCCTGCTACGGCTTTATGAAAGAGCGCAACCATTCTCAGCACTTATCAACTATCATGAATCGCGCGCTGCAATACATCGTCACGAGACGAAGTCTTGCTTTGCGACACATCGCGAATGCGTTAGCTTCGGCGGTGACCGTCCGCTTAAGGAAAGTACCCAGCCCGTGCATTCGACACCGCTCGCACCTCCACCTTCTGCTATATAAACCCAGGGAATCCCATCTCTGGCTGCCTACACATACTCAACCACCCACGTCAAACTCCACCAACACCCAGAGACGAGAATTTCAAAATGACCAAAGGCTCTGCCAACAACTCCTCCGGCTCCGGCTCCGGCTCCGGTTCTGGATCCGGCGGTTATCAAACCACCAGGTCTGGCACGAATAGCCAGGTATGTTCTGGGCTGGCGCGCTTGCATATACTCTCCAAATTAACACGTCGACAGGGCAACCATTACTGTCACCGCGACTACGGAACGGACGCTTCCAACTCCAACTCGTACCACTACTCCAACTCCAACGGTAGCTACTACTACAGCAACCTCAATGTAAGTCTGGTCTCTTGGTATTCCGAATTCGATGCTAAGATCATTCAAGGGCTCCACGTATTACAACGATGGTGCCGGAAATTCCCAGTACAACTCTGGCAAGTAGATCGTGTAGCACGATGCAGTCCAAAGATATTCAATGTTAGTGCTTTCTGGTATGAGGCTTTTGTCTTAGAGACATATATCAGCAAGTCTATGAGTTGAGTTTCGATTGTCCATTGGCGAAAACATGGCAAGGGCATCAATTTTGGCAACGGGCTGTCGGTGTTTCCTCACGGAGGCAACATCACAGGCATCAAGGATTGTCTGACTACTAGTCATGGGTCCAGTCTTATATGCATATAGTACGAATACAGACATCCACTAGTCTTTTTCATGTGTAGACTTTGCGCCCGTGTGTGAAGATCTCATGTAATCCACTACTGCCGGTAGCGTGCTTGGAGGATGGAGGGTGTTTCTGAATAGACAGACTGCTCGTTGCCGCATTGTTACACCTCTTGCCTTACGTCCCATTCTGATTTCATGTAACAGGAACATGCGGAAATCCTCCCGTCACATCTCAAACACAAGCAATGCACTGGAAATCTCTATTCAATGAACTAGTTTTACCTCTCGGCCCTGTGCTAGTCGCTTCCTTGTCAGTCCAACAACAAAGCGTGCTCACAATTTGACCTGACGCTGTACGTTAAAGACGCGCCAAAACAAGACATAGTGCGTTCCAAAACAAAAGGCTCGCGAACACTGACAAGATGAAGGACAGCAAAATCGTGGTGCATAATCAGAGTCCACGTTAGGTAACTTGATTGGGTCCAATTTTTGACGACTATGCCCAGAAAGGGGCACTGGGCAAAGACGCTTCAGGCAAGGAATTCAGAGCATCAAAATTGAGACCATACGCACATAGTACGAGTTATAGAAATTAATTATGGTGTTCCAGGATTGACTTGTTATCCATGGACTGAAAGCAGAGACTGACTATCAAACACTACAAGCTCGAACCCGCTTTGAGGGCGCCCGGAAAGTTTTCCTGAACCGCATCCCACAACGGCTGTCCGCCCGCGGTAAGGTCTTTCCAAGCAGGACACGAGAGACTCAGAATCGGTGCAGAAAAGGTACTGGTGACCAAGTTGATCGGAGCCTCGAGTGTCTTAAGTAAAGGAGACAGCGAGTTTGGCAGGAACGTCTTGAGTACCTGGAATGAGAAGCAGAGGAGGTTGTTGTTCTCGAGAAGAGAGGCTGAGTTGAGGACGCCGCCAGTGATGTTTTGCATGTCAAAGCCACTGAATGAGTTCACTTTGCCGGTGTTGCCGCCGACACTGCAGACGACGTTAGTTTCGAGTTCCGCGGTAGGCATCATGCGAACATCACGTACCTTCCGAGCTCAGGATG